CGAAGTTCATAAGCATGTACCCCGTCAGGTGGATTTCCGCTGAAGTTGTCTTGTGGAAAGGTTTTTTGCATCCTTTGGTGTCCCCCATGCAATTGTGTCGGGCAATGCCGCGGTGTTTAAATCTAAGATATTCTACGACTTGTTTTTTCCTGGGGAATAGGGCACATCACCACCTCGCCGTATTACCCCCAGACATCGCAAGTAGAGTGATTCAATCGCAATTTGAAGGTGGCATTGTCCATCTATCATCATGCTCAGCACACTCGCTGGGACAACCATTTAGCATCCTTGACACTAGCGTTTAACACCGCTTGGCATGAGTCGACTGCAGCGACTCCTGCCTTGCTGTTCTTGGGGAGAGACCTGAACCATCCCCTTGGGTTAAAATGGGAATTAGCAGAATTGGACTTGAATAAGGAAGTGAAGGACATTCGAGAACTTTGGCAGGAGGCACTGGGCAATTTAAAGAAAGCTCAAGCCCGTGTGGCGGAATGTTATGTTGTGCCTAGGCACTAGATATGTTTTTGTATTATCGTTAATTTTAGTTCAGTTGTAGTAAAACGGAAAAATCACAGGATGATGAACCGGAAGTTGAATGAGATCAGACTAATGAGTGTGTGGCATCTGGTAGGCAGCCATTTTATGATGCATCGGTTAGAGAACTACGCACATACACAGGTGACCATATATGGGCAAGTTTTGAAGCAGCAAGAGACGAATGCCAATGGGAAAAGACTATTCTAGGGTGGTTCTGTGCGTGGGTAGTACTCGCGTGTCGCATAGAGACTTATAAAAACCCCAGACGCGAGTGCTGGAGAGGGCTTTTTGGGCGTAGTCGTTGCTACCAAACTCTGTGACAGTGCCAACAATGAAGGGACCAGCAAGAATCGCCATTCTGTGTCTACTATTCTGTTCAAGTGAGTACTTGCCTCTTTTTGTATCACTGTCAGTGGTAAACTAACACACTCAGAACTGTGAAACTGAAGGACTGATTCTGAATAGGACTTCATAATGATGAGGCGATAGGCCAAGGAGTGAATATATCCTGTAGTTGTAGTTTTAGATAGAGTTATTTTCATGTTATAGGTTAGGTATCAGAGAGAGAGAGAGAGAGAGTTGAAGGAATACATCCTCTATGTGTTTTGTACCAGTGTGTTTATTTTACCTGGTGTCTCCCAAACCCGGTACGAGCTATCCACGAGCCCATCGAGGGGTCAGAGCTACCCTAACCCCTTGGGGCACAACAGTTATAACGTGGGTAGGAGGCAGGTTGACTTTCGAGTGGGAGACTTAGTCATGTTAAGGCTGCACCAGCTTAGCTCGAAGTCTCAGCAGCATTCCGCAAAATTGGACCTTAAATGGTCAGTACCTATGAGGCTGGCGAGGTTTGTGTCGCCTGTTACAGTGTTGTTAGCTAACCCGGATATGGGGGTAATTGTACAAAAAGCCCATGTCTCCCAATTAAAGAGACACCTTCCACCGGGCTAGATGGCATGCAGAAGTATGATTTGTTATTGTTGGTGCTTTGTTATCTTAGAATGTAAGCCGTACCGGCTAGATAGGTGATTTATGGCCATGTATTTAAGTTTTTTTTTTCCTTCCGAGCAGGCCGTCTTGTTTTTTTCTCCCTCCCCCCCCTGTACCCCTGCCTGGATGGATGGCGACGCCACCCG